TTTTCACGTAAACAGCAGAGTGAGTGGTCTTGATATTCTTTACTATACATTTTCGTATGTGAATACTACTGTTCTTAACAATTACTTTTGCCAGTTCGGGAACTGCCTTGCAGCAGGTATCTAAAAACATAGTAGAAGGTGACATTGTGGTTGCTTAGTACAATTTTAGGTTATAGGGCGGCGAATCTTCCACCTCAGCTATCACAAAAGTTCAAGGGCTGTACAGAAGAGTGCAAAGCCTTTCAGAAATTCTTTATAAGACACTGTAAGACAAATGTCTTGGATACCTTCAAAATTTTTGCTATCGTTAGTAGAAAATAACGATATATGGTACACCAAAAAGTGTTTACAAGTGATTTTCTTAAACATCATGAGATCTCTAGCTCAAATGTAAGCGTAATTCATGCCACCAAATCACAGCACCCCAGCAAACGACTCCTTTTAGAAGAAACAGCAAATGTATTAATTAGTATAGTCGCCCTCCCAGTAGACACGTGGTTTATGATTTGAGTTTTAACTGTGGCAGACCGTCCGCAATAGAGCACGGCAGCATCTAAGCAAATTCAACTGGCTGAGGGTGCAGTGCTCTACCGCACCAGCTGCACCAAATTCGAACTCGAAACGTCCACCAGTGGGATGAGAATGACTGTAAAGCAAAAACTGCAGCAGCTTGCGTTTTTGACTGAGCATTGTAAACAATATATCGGTATTTTTGAGCTGTTAAAATCTTCTCCAACCTGTTTTCTATGTCTAGGAACCTAACAATAAGATAGAATCTTAGTGCAAGACAAAAGAATTCAAATTAACATTGAAGACTTCAAATCAATAATTTGTTGACTTAAAGTTACATAAACCACGCTCAATAGATACAGTTTTATAGGGAAGATACGATCAGTGCAGCATAAAGAATAAGATAGCAGAGTGTGTAGTAGAGGCGATGTTTACGAATGACTGATTAAAGTGACAATTAATGTTACAAACATGATAGTCATCTAAGAGGTCGACATGATAATGATGTACTCACTTCTCAACATTCCAGATACTTCTTGTTTCTCTGCTCATGCTGTTTGTCCTGCATTCGATATGCATTGCAGTAACGCAGGTACGTTATCGGATAGGATGAATTTTGTTCTACCTTAATGAAACAAAGTGGAGTGCAGTTACTCGTAATGCTTACCGACGCCTTCGACCATGAAAACCAAAATAAAGTATTTAGGAAAGGTCCTGTAACAATTTCTAGGAATTTTTTACCTGCCTTTTCGATCCAACATTAACTTTAGAGGCATTGTCCAGATCAACTGAGGGGGGGGGGGATTTTGACGCAGTACGGATGCACGGCTCCTGTCTGATGCAACAGTTCAAGTCCGAAAAAGGTGGATTTTGAAAAAGGTGGATTTTGAAGCGATAAAGTTGCTTCTGAAAAAAGGACGGTACGCTAATTCCGCCTCCTTGACAGGTTTTGACGTGATTGATTGATTAGATTTACAGCATTTGCCACGTCAATACTTGTCAAAGAGGCGGGATTAACGTACCGCCCCTTTTCCGGAGCAATTTTCTCGCCTCATAATCCACCTTTTTCGATCGAACTTGAACTGTTGCATCAGACAGGAATATTCCACCACCCCCAGTTGACCCTTTAAAGGCAGTGAATCGGCAAAATCCAACAACTCGGGATTTTGACGCGGTAGGTTCCTTATCGCCCAACTATGAAAACAGTGCAATCCCGGTTGCATGCTTTCCCTGCCGAGAAAATCGCTCTCAAACTTACACGCGCAGGCCAATCTTGCACGCATCTGGACGAGTTGGCAATTTTTTTCTCACCAATGGAGGCTGCCCGCCCCAACGCTATAACCATTGGGTCCAACGATTGACGTCATCAGGCTTGCAGCACTCGTCCAATTCCAAAGGGAAGGGCATTGAAAAACGCTCATTTTCGCCGTTTTCAAGCTTTCAAAAGTGGATTTTCGGGATCAGCGTATTGAAAAACCCCAGGTAAGCGCAAATTTGACTAGGTTGAGATTTGCCGAGCCACTGCCTTTAAGCATCTGTGTAAGGCTGTCAAAGATAATTGAAAGATTTTTGTTGTTAATTGGTAGGGTTTCTAATCATAATAGACGATGCTTTTGAGGTTGATTCAGTCCAGTTGACCGGACTTTGCACCAAAAACTTTCTTGAATAAAGACTTTCAGAAGTTCAAATTTGGGAATTGGGAAGCATTGTTCTCCTCAGCAACTAATGAATACGTAAACGAATCAATCACACATCACAGTCGACACTTCAAGTTTCAAAAGCCTACTTTACTTACTTGATTTCCATTTATATCTGGCAAGTCCATTTTCTAAGAAAGGAATTTTCAGTGTTCAATTCTAAGCGAGAGTAAACAAAAACATCAAAGCCACTCAATTGCTGAAAATGAACTTTTGATGCAGACCACTAGTTCAGAAAAATTGTTAATTGACAACGTTGATCACCATGGTGTCAGCAATGTGTGCAAGTGCCATTGATTCAAAAAGCTGCACCCACCACATCACGACAAAAAAGATAAAATATGTGGTGCCCTGAACGTGCGCCGAACACAAATTATATTATGGTATTAAAGAAGATAGATGTCTGCATACCTTTACAGTGGCTTGTGGGAGCCAGTCGGGTACTGAGAGCCCCACGCTTGAACATCTCTGCAAGGAACGGAGGCAGCTTGAAAGAAAGCTTTGTATTTAGAAATATACAGTAGGTTGTATAAGTATATACGTAGAAGAAGCAGACGTACTTCACGCTGCTAACCATCTTCCAACGCTCATTCTAAATATATACCAGGAGGCTGTCCCAAATAAATGTGCACACTTTTTGATCCTTATTAACCCTCCTGCTTCAAGGTCTTTTAAGCTTTGGGTCCCACTTTGTAGAGCTGGCTTCAACTTAGAGTTACATTCTAAGAGAACGTCCGATTCCTCTTCGTTACTGTAGAACCACGGCAGGAATTTTGAAAAGGGTTTCAAGCCGTTTAGAGCAGCATTTCGCCTTGAAAAGAGACCATGCAAGCCAAAATCTTTACAAAGTACAAAGTTAACCAAAGTCGCTAATCTCATGTATGTAATTTGCACATCACAGTTTTGTTTCATAAGCCATTTCAGGAGGACCGTAAAAACTCAACTTCCAATGTTTTCCGAAAATGTGGTTGCCCCCCCTACCCCCTCCCTCCCCGCCAAAAAAGCCTAGAAAATTTCTAAAATGTGGTGTAATTAGATCAGCATGGAAAACACAGAATTTCCCAAATTTTTCTGGAACTTTTTTGTCACATTGCTTCATCATGGCCCTGTATGCTGAGCGTTCATAACTCTACAATATCGAAGAGCGATCGGAGATTCTCTCCAAACTATAAGCTATGTTTAGGCTGAGGCCGGCCCTTCAGATTGGTACCTGTAATGATTCGCTAAGACATCAGTGCAAGAGAGTTGTTAACGATTAAACAGTGTGCACATGCTTGGGACATCATGTACAATGAACAAACCAAGAGGCATCTTACCGTGTAGGAAATGGTGAGGTACGAGATACTGATGCCTCATAAGAGTGAGCCCTTCATTGATACAAAGCACAAGCCGCGCTGCGAATGTTTGCTACCTAAAGAAAACAATAGCCCCGGAAGTAGGGATTCGGCGGAGAGGTGGCTCTTCGTCCCATTTTGAGTCCGCCCCTCCAAGGATTGACCGCTGAATGGTTCTAACATGGTAAGCGCAGTGGAGATGCACACTGTGTGACTGTATCCATGTTGCATACGACGGAATTTTTTTTACATACTACGAAATTTGCGCCTTAGCACTCCTTCATGCTTTGCAGAAAAGGTTCTCGGAAAAAGAGGGTTTTTGGGATTATTTCATGATTATCAGAGGAAAACCACTCCACTAGGCGGACACGCTAGCTTCAGATATTGGGACCACCCATAAACGTGGGTGGTCCAAAAGTGTGGGCTGTGTTGCTTTTTGAGTGGCCATGTAAGTGCGAAATCTGTCCTTTATTATAAATAGATTTTTGACATCTCGCTACCCAAGGCCTAATTTGATACAAATTTGCGGCTTCCCACATATATCCAAAAAAAGAATGATGCATCGTAGCGAGGCGGCGGCCCATAGTTAGGACTTATCGTTAGCAAACAATGTGTTTGATTTATTTGAAGCGGATGATACGGGATGAATTGCAGACGTTGTCAGTGGCACGATATATAATCTATCCGAATCCTTGTGACGCAGCTATCTCTTCAGCATTATGTTTTGCATGGCGTTTACCGCAAGCTATCTGTTTGACATCATTTGCAATGCTCCAAGTTAGTTTTTTATTCAAATAATAAAACCAAAATCTAACAAAAGAAAATGTTAGAGAAGAAATTACGACTTCTTTTGCTGTGGAGCTCGGCAACAGCTCAACCATAAATCAGTTGGAAACGACAGACTCACTACCATAGAATAAAGTTAACATGGTCAAAAATCTGAGAGGGTATAACATATATTACGCAGTGAAGTGGCATATTTCTTGAACAAAAGAAGGGTTGCGCAATTTGCTTCGAGGCAGTTTATGAGACAACTACATCTTTTTTGAGTGTTGCATAAAATTTTACACGTATTCAGTGTGGTTAGTCATTCTCGAATGTCATGACTTAGTGAGTTATCTAGTTTTCGAATCTTTTTTTTTGGTTGAAGCGGTATTATCCGTAATAAATGGCAGAGCAAGAAATCCAAAAATGCTCTTTGTCTCTATTATATGCAGCCTCCAGTCTCTGGCCTAGTAAAATTATACGGTAGTGCTTTGATTTTGTGTACCTGAAGTGTTTTTGAAGAGCGACGGAATGAATAAGTCTTGAGTCATATGTCTAGAAAAATATAGGATGGCTAGCGCGCTTAGCGCGCTTTGTACAACTGTTTATTGAGTATATAAATGCCAATTAGTCTTTTCATGACCTTCAAGATAACGGAGAAATACAAACTTCTAACACTGGCCTTCAGCTTGGCATGGTACTAGAACGCGCTATAGCCCTATGGAAAAGAAGTCACTACGAAGCGTCAGGTTCTGCTTTGGGATTCGTGATAGCTGGAAGCTCCGTGAGTCGACGCATTCAATCTTGAAAGCTTCGCTCGAATCTTACTTTCTGATATGTAGATATTTGCTGGTGCTGCACTAGCCATTTGGTCGTTGATCCAAATGGATCTCAGAAAAGAGCTTGTGTATTGCACTGTTAGCAATTCTGCCACTGCATACAGGCTGCAGATCCGATCTTATGCTTTGTGTGGAATTAATCTTGTTGCCTTGTTTTTCTCAGGACTAGTGTTTTTCTTCAATGCAGCTGCCGTCAGGAAGTAAATCACTTTGCAACTAGAAACGCTCTCATATTATATTCAATGTTCAAGGAGGTATATCAACTTGCGGTCGTCTTACCAACTTCGGGAGAATATTGATGTGATTACCGTAATTATACCTCTATCAGTAATCCACTCGATCTGCCATCTTTTGCTTTCTATCGCCGGTGTTATCCTATTTGCGAATCAACAATTCATTCCCACGGTCACCTTCTGGATACTACTAACAGCTACTTACGTAAGTAAAAGTAGCTTAAAAATTTGATAGCATCCAAAATTCAGATTGTACCATATTACACGTTGATATCGCCTCTGATTTTGTTATTATTACTGAAACTGTCATCGAGGAAGCGAGCGACCAAGCTTATCACTATTACGAAAACGCCCAGTGAGAACGAAACATTTACGGCATATTCGAAAATGTGGGAAGTTGTAGCAATTGATAAATATTGAGTGACTGATGATAATTATGTAAAACGTCTGTATGATAATAGACAGATGGTCCCATCAAGTAGATCGACTGTGTTGATGTTTGTTGATTTTTTTGTTCGTTTGTTGATTCGCGTACTCTCTATGGTCATAATATACTGAAAATACAGAAAATACGAAGAATTCAAGGTTCAAATAGAAAATGGAAGATTACTCGAGGACCGTCGATTTTAAGCAGGCATGTTGGAGTACTAAAAAGTATGCGACAAAGTCCAGAACAGTCATGACCATTAATTTTCACCTCCTCTTTCTACCTGGGCAAGGCTTGTGTTAATTGAGACAGTTTTTGAAAAGTTGTGGTTCTCGAAAAAACAGCACGTCTATAAGAGATTAGATACACCGACTAAATTAACTTTCTGGCATTTATGTCGAAAACCTGACCTTGCAAAAACTAGCTCGATCAGCAGAACTCTGCAGGTACGAAGAGGAGATTAGGAAACTTGGAACTATGACTGTTTTTTACCGCATAGCTTTTAAATTTCCAACAGGCCTGCTAAAATCGCCAAATAAGAGATGTCTCCTTCACGAGGAGAGATGCATCATACCGATGCCCCATGGCGAGAATGTTGTGCATTGTAGCGTTGTCCCAAAATGTACTTAAGAAAAACTAGGTATGGTTTTCATGTTACTCAGTTGACTATTACAATGCCAAGGCGCGGCAAAGTAGCGCCAAAATGATAATGTTGATTTGTGGGATGAGCTATGAGTAAGTAGGAACAACCTACAAATCCTCAAATTCTCTAAAACACCAACAGAATCTGGCGCAAGGGAGTAGCCGCCCTACATAGCGAAATTATCCCATTTGCTCCGATTGCCCCAAAAATGCTCTCTTCTAAACCAACTCTAAACAGGAGCCACCTTGACTTTGTAATAGTAGAATTTTTGAACCTCCTCCTCCTCTCATTTCGATACCGCCCTAAGCATGCTTTTGGTATTCGTTTTTTTACTGGCACGTTTGATCATCAGCGTGTTTGGAGGCAGCTGCAATTGTACGCTATGCTTTTTCGCATTTCTTTGATGCTGAAACTGCTGCCTTTACCAGCGCTCGGCACGAGGTGGCTAGATAAAAATGCAAAAAACGAAGTCCCCCTTGACTTTCGCGAATTTTTACGAAGTACCTTTTGACCCTAGACCATAACCAGGGCCTGGCACGAGTCGGTTTCTAGAATTTCTGAAAACGAAGTCTCCCCTGACTATCGGAAGTTTAACAAGTCCCCTTTGACCCACCTGCTTAAGAGAAGATGAAAAAAAGAAAGATTTACTATCCCGAAAGAGAAGACGTAAGATAAGAGTGAAAATCCAAACTGGAGCTGAATACTACGCATGCACAAGACTTTGGCATTAGAGCGCAATATTTAACAAAGCGAGAAGAAATAAAGGCAAAAAACAAAGGAAAGGCAATGATATGAAAATGTCTTCATGCTCAGGTTAACAAAGCGAGAAGAAATAAAGGCAAAAAACAAAGGAAAGGCAATGATATGAAAATGTCTTCATGCTCAGGGAGATTTCTGACCGAAGAATCCGTCCATGCTAAAAAGATCCGAAACTTATGTGAAGTGACGAAAATATATGCTCCAGAATCTCAGATCGTCTGGTGGCCGTCTGGAGACGATCTAATTTTAGAAAAGGTATTACTTCACATAGGTTTTCAAATCCTTTTACATAATACTTTCTCAAATAATTTTCTATACATACAGTTCAATTTCGGTGTCATATGCTTCTGTGTGCGCTGTAAACAAGCGATTTGTTTATCTTAGCCTTACTTTCAAATCGCGCGCCCTTTTCGCCATGCACGATAGAGCATGTCAATCGTGTGATAACCTGTCCAAAAAGCTAGTGTTCGACTAAATGGCGCTTATACTTGGTGCTCGGTTCCGACTCGTCAAAAGCGATATCCCCTTTGCTGTTTGCTTCAAAAACGAAGTCCAGCCTGCTTCCAGACGATCTGTGCCGGGTTCTGACCATAACCTTTAGCAAATCTCCAAGAAACGAAACGTCGACTGAGAAAAGTCGCCAATTTTGTGTCTTTTCGGCCACAAAAACGAGACCCCCTTTGCTTTTTGTCCCAAAAACGATATCCAGTTTGCTTGTAAGCCACCTGTGCCGAGCCGTGGCCTTTACTAGGGCCCGGCACCGATGGTTTGGGGTCAAACTGGACTTCGTTTTTGGAGTTAGAAGCAACGAGGACATCGTTTTTATGAAGTCCTGGAGGAAGCGCCAAAAAAACACGACGAACATGTCAGGTTTCACGAGTTGAACATGTTCTTTCGCAAGCGCGCGAATTTCAAATGCAAGACTCAAACAAACAAATGGCTTGTTTACAGCGCACAAACAATCACATGGCTCCGAATTTGGGCTATGAGTATACAATATTACTCCAAACTATGTTATGTAAAAAGTTCCCAAAACTTATGTGTCTGAAAACCCGTTCCAGATTTGTTGGTTTCTAGACCAACCACCGAACCAACTGGGTTGGTTCGGAGCATAAATTTCGGAGAGTTCACATAAGTTTTGGACCTTTTTGATTTGGACGATTAAAACGCTCAAAAATCTTATATATAAAGCTGAATGTCTGTTTGTCTGTCTGTCTGTCTGTCTGTGTGTACGTATGTTCCGAATAGAAAATTCAATTTCTGAACCGATCGGGACCAAACTTAGCACACATACACTTCGGGCCCCGGCGGGTGTCATAGGTTACTTTTCGTCATCGATCAATATCGATTTTATCGATTTTTGCAAAATTTGAGCTACGGGGCTGGGAGTTGGCACAGGGGGGTAATCGAGCATGCTGATCACCTCCGTTTGCAAAATTTGAGCTACGGGGCTGGAATTTGGCAGAGGGGTGTAATCGAGCATGCTGATCGATGACGAAAAGTAGCCTATGACACCCGCCGGGGCCCGAAGTGTATGTGTGCTAAGTTTGGTCCCGATCGGTTAAGAAATGGAATTTTCTATTCGGAACATACGGCGGAGCCGGGTAAGCCAGCTAGTCTATTACATAGTGAAGAGAGCGAATCAAACCATTGCCTCTCCTCTCTTCTTTTGAGCCAAAAGTGGTGCAGTTCTGCGCGTTGATAGATATCGCGCTCCAATCACATGCGGTGTCCTTTGAACTATGTGGCGAAAAATGCATCACCGGGTTGTTAAGGCCACAGATTTGGTTGGCCTAGGAGGTTTTCGATTTCCGAGCACTAAAATGGTGCTATACCCAATGGCAGAGCCTTTAATCTTCTCGAAATGTACTCTTTCTGCTTTTTTGTTATACTATATAACTCAAAATGCGCTTTTTTCGCTTTTTTATTATTATTTTGGTTATAAGGATTTCCCTATTGATTTTTAAGCCGAGAGGGACTTCGTAAATTTTCGAAAAGTCATGGGGGACTTCGTTTCCAAAAGAGCTTCAAACCAACGCGTGCCGGGCCCTGGCCTTTACCCATATCCCAGCAGAACAGTGCTCGAAGTGCTTCGCGAGCATGAATTATGAACGTGACCAAGCCCTTCCGCTCCACCTCTGCTTTATCCTTCGCGGAGTTGATCTCAGTTCTGACAACTTGTAAGGATGACAGTCTTGAAAGTAGCATTTACAAGTGGTCTTGATTTGGGAGTAGGATGTTTTACTTCAGTGCAAAGACGAGATTACCCTAAAATCTCACAGATAAGTCCTCCCGTCAGATAAGTTCCGTCTAGAGATAAGTCCGTTTCTTTGCAGATAAGGCCCTTCAGATATGTCCGTTTTCATTCCATTATAACTACCCTGAAATCTTGTCAGATAAATCCGAAGTCTGTCAGATAAGTCCGGACTTATGCACGGGCTTATCTGATGGGAGGACTTATCTGCAAGATTCTTGGCGGTGCGAGAGCGCATTTTCATCGGTTTTTCTTGCCGAAAAGGGGACATATCTGTAAGTTTTTGTGGTATTGTATTCTGCCCGAGACGTTACTTAAATGTGTTATTTTATGCTGAGGGGAAGATATAATGCTACTCCCATTCACTCAGTAATGAGCGTTGCGCTTCTTTACACACAAGAAAAATAAATACACTCGTCCCTCACAGTGTTTGAAAAGGATTCTTCCTGTCTTTACAGATTTGATTTCTGCGTTATAAATTACAAAGCATCAACGATGGCTTTGACTATTATGTATTAGCTTGCTTTCGTTGTTAGACAAGGTTACATGTTAGATTCTTTAAGTTCAAGTGCAAGTTCTCTCGCTTCAATAAAGCAATTTATCCGCTGCTCGGCTACCCATTAAGCGTTGCGCAGAGATGAAAGTGGAAAAAAATCGAAATTTTCCATTAATTCAAGATAGTAGATAAACTGAATTGTTGTAATAAACGCCTCAACTACTAGTAACACTAGTTTTGCGAACTACTCTTTCTGATGAGCGAAGTCTGTTTTAATATCAAAAGTTACGATTTCCAAAGAAAAACCAAAATATCTAACTAAGTTTTCCGCTTTCAATTGCAATCTCGGAAACTAAACACTTCATAGTAACTTTCGAAATGAACAAACTTTGTTTGGTCGAAAAACGGGTTTGCAAAAATTACCTTCACTGCAAAGTTCAGGTTTTTCTATCTTAGGATAACCGAGTGATTATGTTTCTCATGCTTTAACTTTGTTCAAATATTCTAAGCTAAGAGAACTTTCTACGAAAACTAGCGCGGAAAATGTCAGCCAACTCTCAAAGTGTCAGCTGTAATCATCAAAACCCTCTCAAAATCATCTTCACTGCCTGTTGAAAATGGATTGAACTTGCGCGGCTCACCCTCCAAACTGAGCGTAAAAGCAGAGTCCCGGCAGATTCTCTCCATGGGGGATATACATGTTGTGGGGTTCCTGGTCACCCCACTAACCTCAAGTTCAGTCCGGCTGGTTGATGTTCTCCCTGCGCCGAGAAAATAGCCCTCGAACCGGCGCGCGCACTTAGACATTCGCCGCTGACGACCGCAGGTGAAACGGAGTTCG